CGACACTCATCCTGATGGATTCAGCAATAGCCAGAATCTACGGATTGGTGACCAGTTCTTATGGAATAGTCAATGTATTCCACCTCGATTTTTGACTTTACCAGAGATGGGGCCACGTTGTAACCTTTGCACGCGCTTATTAAAGCTGCTTATTTTCATTGGTTAACTGGAACCTCGAATGTGGAAGAACTGTAATTAAAGCATGTATGGTTGTCAAGTCCATGATGTTATCGGATCTTATCCCTTACAGCCAAATCAGACGCTTATCACTAATGATAATGGCAAACGAAGCAAATTTGATCAAGCTGTCGGCAATGTATAGTAGGCATCTACTGATTGGACAGCGCGCTTGACAACGGGAAGTGACGTGCGGAAATGATCAAACGGCGTAACAGTGATTTCTTGAGAGACTTTGTCATATCTATTGATTAGGGGCAACCGAAACACCAAAAGCTTTACTCCAAGATGAAGCAGCGAGAGGAAAAGGTATGCATCCAAAGCCTAGAGCAGAAAAGAATCTACGCACTGTTAAAAATATAGGCCTAGTCTCTGGAAGAGCGAGGAAATCGCAGTGTGTTATCAACTGAGGTTTAAGCTCATCAAGGACGCTGTCTCACAAGAAATGAATATCTTGTAACTCGCACACGGCGTTGTCTGCCTACGCACAATACATATAAAGTTGGATACAAACTTGTCACAAAGTATGCCATCGAATACTGGTCCCTTGGTAATGGGGGGAATTTCGAACGCTTCCTAGAGGATACAACATTGCTTTCTTTATCCTGCTTGTGCTATCGCAAGGAGAATAATTTGCTTCAGTGAACAACATTGATATAGTTTTCACGTGATTCTCTCCAAGACGAATGTTTCATATACATGGATACATGATATTTATGCGTGAATGAACAAGAGTCCTTTCGTCACCGCAGTTGTCATAACATAAATTTTGAAAGCGCTGATGAGGGATGAGACAACCTCAGTAACCGTTTTGGAATTTTTATAAGACTACGGATGTATCCCAGTTTCAGGTTTTTGATTCAAATTTTGAACCTTATTTGACATCATATGGTTGTATTGCCAGCCAGATTGCACCTCAGGATACAGTAGCAAATGTCCGTTAATGCGTTGTGGGAAAGGGCATGTTAGTTACCTAATCAATATGTTAAACATCACTCTGTTGAGTGCTGTGTTTTCATACGTCAATTTCAAAAACGAAGAGCTACCGGAACCTCGCTCCTCCGGAACTGCTCAAGCCAAGTGTTTCTGCTTTGCCACATCCCCGTGATAAACCGTCTAAGAAACTAGGACTCGTGTGGCTGATTTTGACAGTAATCGCAGGTTCAGTTACTTTCTGAACGCCTCATCCGTATAACTTCATCCAGCTACAGTAATCGGTTCCTGTCTCATATCCACAGATATATTATCGTCGTATCGTCCACAAACTTGCTAGTAGATGTACCCACGGACATCTCGGATTGGTGGATAACCGGATTGGATTCCACTTTTTCTTCGGGATTAATCTTCTATACGTCAAGTTTCTGCTGAATTGTACACCAACAGTTTTTTTTTGATATATTTTTCAAGTTGTGCAAATTTGGTGCGTGTTCACCGGCTATCTTCGGAGTTCTCGTTGATTAGCCTAAATGCCATTCTTGTCCACCATCTTGCATTTCTTCAACAGTAATCGGCCATCATGACCACCACATTGATAACCCGACACGAAGTATTCTATGTTACTCTAAGTTGTGTCAAAGTAATAAAAGGAGTATTGAATTTCACCAGTTAGCAACATTTGTAGAACCGAAACAAAGAAATACAACACGTCGGGTTCACTTTGCTTCTGTCCAAAGTGTACGACGGTTCCCTTAGTAAAATACGTACTAGCGTTAACACAAAAGTACGACAGCCTAGTCGCCGAAACTGAACATCGTTTGAATGCAAAAATTGCTTCGCTCGAGGCGACAATAGCGCATCTTGCACCTAATCCGTTTAACTCCTTCACTACTATGCGCGTTTATCTCGAGTAACTATGGCGTTCCCCTTGATCACTATATGTAAGATGAGTTACCAAACATCCATTGTTTCAAAGCTGGATATATGCTACCTGAGACTATTGTCCTTTTGCTTATGATTACAGACAACCGCACCCCGTTGACACAGGGTCAGGATGAGTTGTAACTCAAGACGACACTCATCCTGATGGATTCAGCAATAGCCAGAATCTACGGATTGGTGACCAGTTCTTATGGAATAGTCAATGTATTCCACCTCGATTTTTGACTTTACCAGAGATGGGGCCACGTTGTAACATATGCACGCGCTTATTAAAGCTGCTTATTTTATTATTGCACAAGTTAGCAACGTTTGTAGAACCGAAACAAAGAAATACAACACGTCGGGTTCACTTTGGTTCTGTCCGAAGTGCACGACGGTTCCACTAGTAAAATGCGTACTAGCGTTAACACAAAAGTACGACAGCCTAGTCGCCGAAACTGAACATCGTTTGAATGCAAAAGTTGCTTCACTCGAGGCGACAATAGCGCATCTTGCACCTCATCCGTCTCCCTCAATTGCGGCATCCAAACAAAGGAAAAAGGCCAGGCATTCACACGACCAGGCAGTGCTAGTAACCTTGAAAACAACGAACCAATTTGCCATGGCGACCGATAGAAGCATGCCTAACCCCACCGCTTACATTCTCTTATCCAATCTACCGATTGATGCAACATTGGTAACACCCACCCTTCCGACTGACTAACAAAATCCGAAGCGCTCTAAAGATCGATCCACTTATGCAACCTTTGCTGCTCACCATAATCAAAGCACGGCCTCAGTATCCTCAGCCAGTAAAGTAACAAAACGGGTCAAAGACCAGGTGCAACCTACAGAGACATCACGAAATCCCTCGATAACCTTGTTGCGCACGTCACTGAAGACCAGGTGAAACTACGGGGCTTTGACACTTATATGCATCAGCGTTCCTAAGTCTAAGGTAAAATCCTTAAGGGTAGACCAGCTGGATGATTTAAAGCTATGGGATTTCCTTTGTGATAAAATCGGAGTTCAAGCCATTCCGACTGACATAACGCGCATCATTAGGCATCCGATCTCGAAGCATTATGGGTAATCCCGGCTAATGTGATTAACATTGGGATTAATAGATGATGTCGAGACTGTGCTTTTGTTGGCATACCGCCTGCGGACTGAAAACTGTGGAATACGCGTATTTACAAGTGTTCCACGAAGCGTACGCCAGCGGGACAAAAATAATTTAAACAACCACCACAAAGAGAGCAGCAAAAGAATAGATTTCTATCATGGCGTGTCCGAGCTACAGGCAGCTAGAAGCGAAGAAGCCTCACCCATGACCTGGAAGCTTGGCGTTACATCCGTGAAACTCTATGCACGCGATATCATACTTCAGTCGATTACACGGTTACCAGTGTCGCCAAACGACATAGTGAGTGGCCCGAGGATACTGAAAATAACGGTTCAATCACAACATATGGCCGTGAAGTTACTCTGTAGCTGGCAGTTTACTACACAAGTAACTTCCTTCGGAACTACGACTAAAGACAGCAGTTACAGAGCCGCAGCCACTGGTCGCTCTCGCGGAAACGACACCACCCGCAAATCAATATAACCACAGCAGCGATTCAGGGAACTATGCGATAAGACCCATAGTTATCTAGAAGGCTATCAATGAACTACATACCGCAGGTGCAAGTAAGAACAAAAGAAGATTGCTTTCCTGTTGAGAGATTTGGTAATTCACCAAAAAAAGCGATTAGAAGCCGAGCCTCTCATCCGTCGGCACAAATCCACCTCATTAATGTGGGTCTAGTCAAAAGCATTTGACAACCGTAAGGCTTTCTTGTATTGCACAAACGTTCAAGGCTCACTGAGTAAACTTTCTGCCATCTGCCTGCGTCAAGGTTAAATAGCCTGCGACCTCATCGCTTTA